ATTTTAAGAAAAAAGGCTACAGAAATATATCAGAGCGTAAGTCCACGGATTACAAAATTTTCATAATTTAAGCCATGCGAAAAGGAGATAAAGGAGTTGCTAAAAACACAACCGAAATTTAATCTAATGGGATCGTAGTCCGAAGCATGACAACTAGAAACCACTGTTGGGCATGGGCCTTATAATTGACAAATTATAAAGCCCATCTCGCCGAGCTCGGCCCGGTAGAGTTGAGAGCCCAATTCAAGTCCCAAGGGAAACCCTACATTAATGTACTTTCTCAATATAGTATAAATAGGAGTCCCCCCACCTTCTATGATCCATGAGTTATTACTTTTTGGAGAGTACAAGGGATCTGAAGGACTAACAGTTTTCATGACTCTAACTCGCCCAGAAAGGAAAATAATTCTGTTTGTACGTTTTTCGCCGAAATCGTACAGAAGTTCGTTAGAAAATGGCTTGTAGAGTTTGCACTTATACCGATCACAGAGCACTTATCACCAGGTTCCGACCTCAAAATACGTACTTATCATTCAGTTTCTGACCCTATTACACTTGGCTGTCACTTAGTCTCCGATCTTAGACACTGATCTTGTTACCCAGTTAATGCGCAAAGCACAAGGTTCGTCAGTTTATAAGCTTCCGAGCTCAATGTCCTTTACATTCGTTTCTCCTTATTTATACGCCGTTTGTATCCTATTTCCGAACACGTTATCAATAAACGAGAATTTCCGAGCCTCTTATTGTTTAACAAATATATTATCGAACTCACGTATCAACAATTGGCGCGCCAGGTAGGGGGCTTGAAATTCTCCAACGCACGATTTCAATTCAGAAATGGAGGACAACCAGCCCGAACACAGCATGGCCAATCAGGAGCTCGATACAAGGAATCATGATCTTCAAACAGAGCCCGTGGTCGTCAAAAATATTACCGACCCAGAAGTTCGAGCCGTCGTCGAAACCGAGCCCGCCGGACAAGATGTCGTTATAACCCAACGAGCTCAGGATCCAATGACAGCTATGATGGAGGTCATCATGCAATGATTCGATCGACAGGAAGAACAAGCCCGAAGCACCAATTCGAGATTGGAACTACTCACTACAGCTCAAGCAAACTACCAAGCACAGTTGGACCAGTTAAACCTAAGGTCCGCTCATGACTCACTCCGAACTCGAAGAACCTCCTCGCCGACTCCTGACGGCAGGCACGAGCAGAAACAACCGGAAGATTGGCCAACCTCACAATCCAGGCGCCTACTGAGCACCCGAGCAGCTCAAGGGCAGCTCGCCCGACCTCCCAACACTTTGACTTAATTTCGCATGAAGAACGCCGCATGTTGCCGCATGATCGGGATCCGAAACTTTTACGAATGAAAACCCGGCTGAAAGACAT